GCGTCGTCGTCGTCGTCGTTGTCGTCGTCGTTGTCGTCGTCGTCGTCGTCGGCGTCGTCGTCGCACGGCTCTCCTCTTTCTTTCTTTAGCATGCCTGAGGGAACGACATAGAGGAGCGGTGGTCGGCCGACCGCGAAGTCCAGCATCAAATCGAATGTTTCGCGATTCCGCACGGATGATCGATCAATGATCTTCGACGCGAATAATAAAAAATACTTGGAGATTCAAGGATTGTTTGGGATTGATTTTGTTCGTGTTTGGTCTGAAGGCATTACTCTTTTACAGGGTGACGTGTTCTTGGTTTTTCGCTTTGGAATCTGTATTAGTATTTAGATTAGCTACTATTTTATTTGATGTTTAATCCTTTGCTTTGGAGTATTTAGGCAGCGTTGATATATTGAACTTTTACCGAATAATTGTGGACAAATTTAGCTAAACACTTATCGCCAGGGAGATTTATTTCATTGGAGATAAATTTCGTTGAGATTGTAGCGACTAAATGGAGAAACTTTAAACGAGTGGATATAGATATGAAAATTTGTCCGAGCCAAGAACAGAGAAGGTTCGAAGTTGACTTCCCCGATTGAATGTTCGCCACTTGAACGATCGAAGGAATTCGAGTTTAATCGACTATCGTTCGTTCGGTTAGCTGCTACCAATCTGATAGATAATCCTTTCACTCGGACTTTCGAAACGTTTGGGAACATTATCGATTCAGTGTACAAAGTTTCGCACACTTAGTGTTTTTCCTTTTTGAGGGGAGCCTCGAGGTTCGAACTCGCTCGACTAGTTTGCGCTGAATTCTTTTCTCGAGCGGTTTTCTTTAAGGAATAATAATTATCTTACTGAATCGTATATGGCGGACACGTTGGGTTGGGAGGGAAATTGGTATGGGATCGCTATGGCGTTCCCACGAATTCGTAACGGGTCGCATGGATGCAAGGGAACGAGCACGGGTCAACACCACTTGAACCGATGTCGATGACGACGATCGTAACCGATGACGCATCACCTCGCGAATCATCTTGCGCGATGATGTTTCCAAGTGATTTGACCATCGTAATGCCTAGCTCCCCGCTCGGTGTCCGTGTCACGTTCCAATTTTCTTCTTTCTTCGAAGTTGTGGCACGTTCTCAAAAGCGCGTCGATCTTTTATAATGATACCTCATTAGAGATTAGATCCTGAATCGGTCGATCTATCAGAAGCTGATTTATCGTGTTGGAAGGTAACTTTGATTTAATGTGCTCCGATAATATACAGTCTTTATCGAACGTATCTATAATGAGTATTTTTACAATTTCTACGTAATATTTAGGAAATTCAATATTTCTAGGAATTACTATTAATTTCATACAGTTGGTATTCATGAATTTTGGAGTACCTGTGTTCAGGAGTAATTTACTTTCCAAAATGATGAATCAGATACATAGAAACACATTTGCAAGAGTCTCTTTGCTTCTATCAAAAACATTCTAATCGAATATTACTTGTTACTCCAATTGAGTAGACCTTACGCACAAATTCTATAAAGTATGTTTCCACATTTACGCAACACATCTCTGTAACCATAATCTTGTATCATCTCATTGTACGATTAGGTACAAAGAAACAGCGACAGAGAATTTGATTTTATTTCGCTTCGAGTTCAATCGCGGATCATTTCTCGAAAATCGTAACACTCCCTTGACTTACCGCGAATGAACTTTAGCAGCATTGGATGTTTAACAATTGAGCTATCTCTGCTGGCTCAGCAGTGGCAGCAGAAGCAATCAGGGTCGAGCGACAATGCATTCACCTCGTGCATCAACCACGCTTTACTTGATACATTGTCTCGCGTTCTAACGATATACTTATTTGTCTATATTACTTCTTGTCGGATAGACTGCGCTTCCGCTATGCACCGCTGCCTTGGATCATTTCGTAACGAATATCGTTTGAACCTTGCGACATCGTGTT